GCGGTCAATGCCGGTTAACAAAAGTCAATGCCAGTCAACGGTGGCGGAACGAAAACTGTTCAGTGGAAACGTAGCCATCGACGAGGAGATTCAACTGTTCTAAAGGCTCAGTTCTGGAATCCGACTCCAAGTGGCCCAAAACCCCCTTCGAGCCTTAGATCCAAAATTTTCAAAAAATTGTAAAATAATCACCGGTCGTCCAAAAATTAAATCCTTTGACTATGTGATAGAGAACGATGAGAGGAACATTTTCCATCAAGGAACCAAGATCGGAAACCCGATCGTTTGATCGAAAAATGGAGGAAAATATTTAAAGTTTGAAAAAAAAAATTGAAGAAATAATTCATGAGAAGGAAATCAGGTAAATGGGTCTGTAATGACCCTTTGGTTATCACAATGCAAAAGTGTATTGGTGGGCCCCATTGCACTAATTAAAATTTTACTTTAACATTAAAACACACACACACACACACACACACACACACATAAATCAAATCACAACCACACACATTAACATACCACCATGAAACTATGCGCAAAAAAAAAAAAAAAAAAATAGTGTATGGAATGAAATAAACTCGTAACACAACTCCCGTATACAACAACCCTGGTAGCGGGTCCCACCTGCGACCTCCCGGCCCGAAAAACAGAAAATGCTGAAATGATAATCAATGCATTTCCAAGAGTCCTGAACTCAAGAAAATGCTCCAACCAACTCTCAAACACACCCAGCATACCCCAAGGTGTCCGACACGTAAAACGAGACAAAACAAAAATAATCTAAAAAATTAAAAAAAAAATCCCAAAAAATGAAAAATGATAAAAATGAGGATCATTACAAAAGGTTTGACATATCAATTACCCAAGGCAAAATATTTTCCAAATTACTCTTTTTCGGAGGTGAATGTGGGATCAAATCCATTGCGTCAAGGGATCCGATAGCAGTGGGGAATGGCAAATCCATTAATATATGGTATAATAAATAGGTCCTTAGCTTATAATATAATTTAGTCCCAAGGTTTGGTGTAACTTCATTATATCATGTTGCTGACTTGATTGATGGTGATTGCAAAACTTGGTGTATGGATGTTCCTCCAACAATGATTTGCCTTTCATGAAGTACATGTTATTTGTCGCATTGCTTTTAGCCATTGGAATAAAGAAGATACACGAATTTGGGCTTTTGAAAAAGCTGGGCGATTTTCTATCAAGCCCGCTTACTGTTTGGCATCTTCATTTTCTTGTGATTTGAGGTGGGCGGCAACAAGTATGGTACCTTGTCAATGCAATGATAGGATGATTTCACAGTCGGTGTGGAGATATAAAATTGTATTTAAAATCTAGCATTTTATTTGGCGATGCTATCATAATGCATTGCCTACGTCAACAACTCTTTGTCGTAGGGGATACTGGAAGATCCATTATGTCCTCATTGTGGTTTAGTGGAAGAAGACATTATTTTTATTATTTTTTTTTAATACAGTTTTGGAAGCTTATTCCCCTTCGACTTAATTTATCTTGTTTTCCATTTTCCTCTTTTATAGAGTGGTGGTGTCATGTCTCTCACCAAGAGAATTATTCATATGGAAAAACTTATTTCCTGAGCTTGGCATCTTTCTGCATATAGGCTATATGGAAGGCTCGAAATAAGAAGATATTTGATAATGTTATGTGGAGTCCATTGATGGTTGCAAATTGAGCAATGGAGCATTTTTGGAAGCTTATGGATATGTAGTGAAAACGCAAAACTTTTTCCCTAACCTCTAAGAAGTCTTCATCTCCTGATCTTTGGTCTCACCTTCTGGATGGTGTTATTAAATGTAATGTTGATGTTGTTGGGAAACGTGCAAGTTGTTAAAAACTTTTGAGGGATTTGCAATCATGGATCTTGATTCATCACATAGAGACAAGTTTTATGCAAAAATAAATAAAAGATGATCTATGATTCAATAAACAGATTGAATACTTACATCAAAGGTCTGAGTAAACCTTTTAATCTTTCCTCTAAAGTGAATGTTCTCACTTATTATAGATCCCTTTAGCAAGATCATTTCTCCTTCTTCTTGATTATAATCTTCCCTTTAGGAATCACCAATATGCCTTGATGAATGACCTTGGAATCTTGGCTTGTGGTAGCCTCCTTTTAGAAGAGAAAACAAACCTTAAAATCTAGAGTGAGAAAGTGTATTCCTTTTTCTTGTTTTCAAAGTCACCCTTAAAATATACATGGACCCATGTATATATAGGCAAAATAAAAATAAGAATAAGGAAACAATAAATCATTCTCCATCTCTAAATCAACTTTCTCAATTCTAACAGGACTCCAATATCAACTTGGGCTATTGGTGAGAATCCTTTTGGGCTTACTATTTTCTTGGCTCCTATAAATTAATAATTGGTCCGGTCCATTAAACCATGGACCCAATTTAATTAATTTCTACTCCACTAAAAGAAATTAATTGCACTCCAATTAAATAGTAAATAACCTCTAAGTCAATGTTGCACTTTGACCCCTCTATGCATAATTATTTATCGAATAATTAAAATCATCAATCCGACAATATAATTAATATAATTATTTTGTTACCTTTGATTATTTTCGGCTCGATCACAATAAAATATTTATTTGACAAAAATAATAATTTACTAAATAAATATATATAGAAAACATTTGTCTAAAACATACGAAGGCCTTCGAATTTAATTTGTGAGCAACCATAATCAAAACAAAATAAATACAAATAGCACTGATGTAAATATTGAGAATATAGATCTCTAACTATTAATTACATAACTACCCAAAGTGTTGATCTAAGGATCTCGAGGTATCTGTCGAACAAATCAAAGTAATTATTAATTAATAAAAGAGTCTATACTTCTCTCATGCTCGAGAGTCAAAAATCATGACTGTGATAGAGAGTAATTGCATACGACGGCTCTCGCAATATATCTCAATCTATCATGGACTTGGTTCAAGTCTTAACTAATTAAATGTCCATCCATAATTACCGACTTTGAACCATTTATGATTACTAATTTATAATATAGTATTAATTGTTATTACATACATATATAAATATATCTTGTAATCAAGTGGACACAATCAATTCCATAATGAATCGAAAAATAATACATTCCATTCACCAATTGTATAATGTTTTAATAATAATATTCAAATAAAGAACCATGACTTTTACAATCCAAAATAAGAATTTGCTATGCTAGGGCACACATATTCCAACAGATGCCAGTTTCTCTAAAACTTCTATGATGGGAGGAGGAAGCGCTGTTTATAGGGATTCCTCCGGCTTAATTCTTCGGGTTGTGGTTTTTAAACCTTTTCCAACCTCTTCGGTGGCATCAGCGGAAGCTTTTTGCTTTCGAAATGCGGTGCGTTAGGCTCGATCATTCAACTTTCTAACAGTGTGCTTTGAGTCCGATGCTAAGATGGTTGTGGATGCTTTGACTTATGATAGGGTCATTAATACAGAGATTTCTTGCATAATTTTTTATATTCTTGCTGAACCGCAATCTTTCTCTTAGTTTTTGATTTCTCATGTGCAACATAATAAGGTGGCTCATGCACTTGCTTCCTTCTCGCGGAACGGCTTAAACTCGGATATGGTTTTATCTCAGCTCCCTTCTTCAGTTTTACAGCTAGCTAGGCAGGAAGGGTGTGCTGCTGTGTAGTGTGTGCTTTTGTTTTGTCTTTGTAATTGCCAGGGAAAAAAAAAAAATAGAATCTTTTAACGTAAATATTAAATCACACCCACAAGGCCACAAAATTCACAAATCTCATTATTCCGTACTTTTGATTTGCGATAAAATAAATTTTTTGTCAATAACGATAATTGGTTTATTATTATTAGTTTTTATTTTTACTGTGGAGGAAAATAGTATATATTTGTTGGCTGGAGTGCTATATAATGGATACTTTCAAGATATTCAAATCTTTGAGTAGTTTTTATTTCACTCTATGTAAACGAGTTAACTTTGTATTTAAATGGCCTTATTAACTCAATTGTTCAAGCTTTTGTGGGCTTGCAATTTCCAAACATATTATTTAACAAAATTTTGCAAATATGGCTTTTTTTATTAGGACTTGTTTGAATTTATAGTCAAATTTTTTCCTTATCAATCTCGATCTCAAGTTTGAGTTGAGCTCAAGTTTTTAAATTTTGTAGCAAATTGCCCGCTCGTTAATAATTTTGACCAATTTTTTTTTTTTTAATAAAAATTTCAAAATATCATTAAGGGAATTTTAGGTATTTCTTTATTTTTTAATAAATAAATTTAAAATGAATAATAAATATAAACAAAAAGTAAGAATATAAAAGGTAATTTTTTTTGGGGGTTTTTGTAATTTTTGTAAAAATGGCTTTATTTTTATTATTTTATTTATTTATTTATAATTTATTTTTGTTATTTATTTGTTTTTGTAAAAAATGGCTTTATTTTTTAATAAGAATTTTTTTTTTGTGCGCTCGGTATATAACAAGAATTTTTTTTTTTTTACACTTTACCTTATATTATGTGAAAAAAAGAGAAAAAAAATAAAAGCTGTAAGCACTTATTCCATCCCATTTTTAGTGTCCATTTTTAAGAAACTAACCTATTAAAATGAGACTTTTGAATTGGAAGTAATTAGTTTTGGACCATCTAAATATGGAATGTGTACACTTATTTTGAGTGAAAGGACACATGTCTAAGCCAAAAAAAAAACAAAAGAAAAACAAAAAAAACGAAGTAGTACTCAACGCAGATCAAGACGCTTAGATGTCATCATCATTACATTTACTGCACAGATGGTCGGATTTGCCTGTACCAAGTCATCCTGATGGACGATTTTCAACCCTCTGATGTAAGTATTTCTTGACATATTTTCCAATATCAAAAGTCATTAAAAAATCAACTCCGTGAAATCAGCCGTTGAAAAAACAAAAAAAATTTATCACATGGTTCAAAGTGGTTTATTCCTCATTGTTATCGATAGATTCTAATAATTGTTCAAATCTGAGAGTACACTGTTTACAAATCCAAACACTCCCAAAATCTTAAATTAGAGATTACTGCTTAATCTCCTCTTAACCCCACTCTCTCTCTCCTCCCCTTTTCTCGCTCTACATCCACACCATATTTCATCATTTTCCGAGTAGCCTTGTCGGTGTATAGATTATATCTTTAAAGAATACGTAACCGTCGAGACGAGAGGAGAGGAGAGGAGAGGAGAGGAGAGAGCTCAAGTTCTAACAAACGCTCTGAATATAAAACCGAAAACCATCTGTTGATTATTGGATCCTTGTATTTTTGTCACTCGCTCAGGTACTTACCTTAATCTGTTTATTTTTTCTCTTTGAATCAGTTCTAAGATCATATTTTTATTGTATGTCCCTGTATAATTGCACACACCCATATATATTTCTTAAATTTTTGTTTAATATTTAATCTTTTTCTTTTTCTTTCATGGCATGTTATGCAATTTTGACACGGAAAGAAGATGGTTAGTTTTAGGGTTTTGTTTTAAATCTGTTTTTTTTTTTGTTATTTTAATTTTTATTTGGTTAATTTTATCTGGATTGTCTTGATATAGAAGAATTTGATGATGTCAATGGATCTTTCAAGGAGTGGTTGGTTGATGTTGCTAAATTTTTATTATTATTTATTGTTTTGAGTTTACTTGTAATATCCTTAATTCTATGTTTAACTTCTGAATTAGTTTCATGATAGTCGCTCTACATTTAGCTTGATAATTCCAAACAAACTAGTCGCTCTACATTTAGTTTGATAACTACAAACAAACGAGATGTATTATATACTACGGTCTACTTTCATAACCATTGTTTCAAAATATCTTACATAAATACCAACTTTACAAAACTCTATACCCTTCTAAAATCTTCTCCAATTCACCAGTTTTTATAAGCTATCAAATGTTCTAAGTGGTAAGGAGATACATATGACACACGCGTGTTACAAGATTTTTCTAATAGATGGCTTTGTTCATAATCTGTGGAACACTACTTTTGATCTCAATTGTAAGCCATATTCATTTTCTCCACACAAATGTGGAAGATTCTAAAATCTTTTTCAATCCACCAGTTTTTATAAGCCATTCAATGTTCTAGGATACATCTCTCCACAATTCTCCACACAGAGGTGAAAGACACTAGAACCAACCCTCCACATATGCATAACACTTTAGCACTCATGTGTTGCCTAACACACAACTATCAATGCCCAACTAACTCTTTGTCTCGTATTTTTGAAAAGAGAACACGTAGAATGTGGTCATTTTTTTTGGAGAGATGAAGAAGCATTAAACAGTTTCTGGAATCATTGTAGAGTACTAGAAGAAATCTATGCCACAATGCAACATAAAAAATATAAAAAAAAAATAGAAATGCATCCACTTACAAGCTTAAACTCAAAATAAAGACTAGAGTTGTATAAATAATTGTGATATATTGCTATAAAATAATCTTCAAAATTGATGTCTATGTTTAAATTAATTGAATAACTATAATATTAAGGTTATTGATTTAGTGGTGGTTTAAGCTCATTGGTTTTTGAAGTGCAAATTGAAAATAAGAACTTTTCTAAAGTAGATCAATACCTAATAAATTTTTTTTTTTTTTTTTTCATATAATAATAATAATATCATCACCATCATCAACACTGAAGTGCCGTTTAAGAAAATTGGAAATTTAAGAGCTGAATTTTGAGTGTTAAAGTTTTAAGTGGTAGTTATAATTGATTTTTCAAATATATATATATATATATATATATATATATATATATAGATTTTAAGTGTCCGACAAATTATTATTATTATTATTATTATGATTATATTTTGTTGGGGGGGAGTGTTTAGTATAAGTGATGTCACTTTGACTTAAAATTTTACTCATTCTCGGTGGCACTCATTTTTTTTAAAGTGAAATTTAAATTGTGTTATATCAAACACACTGAATCCATTACTTATCAAAAAAAGCGCACACACACACACACACACACTGAATCCATGGTGCTGAATTGGGTTATCAAACAACATCCAACACGTCTTCAACAGACCTATATATATTGATAAGTACAACAGTCCTATATAGGGTTGTCACTCTTTGTAGTTTACATTAATTCATTGAAAGAAAGGGAGAAACTCCATAAACGAAAAGAAAAATTACTAATTGCTCCTATTTTGGCTAATCCACTATGGTCTTCCAATAATATATTAAATGACTCCCCTTTAGGTGTAGAAATGTTGAACAAATGCATTTAATCAGGATTTTTGAAGTTTGTCAAAGGGGGAAAGTCTCTAGAAGTTTCTAACTGTCAATAAAAGATAGTGGAGGCTTCAAATGCATTAGTTGAGTCCTAGTTATCAAAAAAAAAAAATGCATTAGTTGAGTCGTACAAGGTGTTAGAGGATCCTTTTGAATTCTTATTCATTGAAATGCAAGAAAAGTACCAATATTATTTTCTTTAGTGTTTCAGGCCACCACCAGCCCACTGGTCAATTGGGTTTTCAAATATGGGAATGGTATACTGTGCATCACACAATGTGCTCATGCAACATGTCAGTCTATGGTGCAATACAGTGTTGTGTGATTCGATTGCATGTTACATATCAAAGTACTCGCAATACATGCAGTATACTTTATTGTGTGGCACGTTTTTTGGACAACACTGCACGTGCCATTGTCCTTGTATATCCTTGTATTTTGATGTATGGGTGTTGATTCTGTGGTATTGCTGATAAAACTCAAATAATTCATTCCTTCAGATTTAAATAAATTTGAGTATGATCCTTCTTGAATTCTTTTTATTTTTCTTTCCCTTTAGAATATGTTTATACATGAAAACCTTCATAGGATGCAAAAACTCTTAAGCCTCTCTCTCTCTCTCTCTCTATATATATATATATATATATTGATGTATTAAATTGATTGTCATGTATCTTTTTTTTTTTTTTTTTGAAAGAGGGGGGGTTCCTCTTCCAGTTTCAGTATAAGAGTATTTCGATTGCTAAATTAAAAAAAGAAAAGAAAATTGGAAGTCCTGAATTTGTATTGCAATATGATGTAAAGTTAAGCCATCAAATGTCTAGTGTCTCATCCCTGTTCGCTGTTCGGGCATTATATCTGCTGCTAAGACCACTAGGCCACCAGGTGGTATAACCTCTCTTCTCCGAAAGGGAAGGTGAGGGTTTGAGCCCCATTGTAGGCAATTGTGAGTATTTAACCCAAAAAAAAAAAAATCTACTGCTGCTAAGGATGGTTCTTTTGAAATGGAGATGGTTTTTTATAGAGTGGTTTTGGTTGCTTGAAACAAACTCATCATTCTTTTCCGGTTGTTAAACTTGATAAAAGTGGGAGCTATCCTATAGAATGCTCATTTAACATTGATGGTACACTAAATAGGTGTAAGAATATCTGTATTCCACTTTTTGCATCTTGGATGAAGTCTTGTGAGTAACAGACATTATGAATACATTGCATACAGAATGCAAGATGCAAGAGTTGTGTGAATAATGCTGTTTTATTATTGCTGATATTATTTTGGTTACATGTGCAAATATCTGGAAGTAAGTACCTTTTGAATTGTGAATGGTGTTGCAGTTTTCCAGCTACCGGGTTGAGTTATTACATATTCCGTTTTATGGGTTTTGTAAAATCAGGTCTGCCTGAACACTGTTCTGTGTGACCAATTGTTCAACTATTCTTCAGCACCTCTCTTATTTTTGGGGATATTGCATTGGCCCCAATGCAACGGCAGAAGAGTGTTGTCGAATCATTTCCTGAAACTGTTGATCTTAACCAGGGATCTGTTTCCAATAACCCTAGTATGAATCAGTCAACTGCTTGGAATAACATTCTAAATCCAGTAGAAAGCCGGTTCTCAAATTACATGGTTTCTTCTGGTGAGGAGAATCATATAGGTGCAGATGTTGTCAGTCACAATGTTCAGAGTTTTAGTGGTTGGGACTCTGGTGAATCTAGCTCCAGTGTGAATTTACAAAATCAGGCCTTTGGGGATGGCTTCAAAACGGAACATGGTCGGTCTTCCTCGTTTAGTGCTTGTGGTGGGGTCAATACAAGATTAGAAGAAATGCAATTTGGACCATGTAATAGTCCTTTTCGGGAGAGTGTCAATTGTGGTCCTCGTGGCAATCAAGTTGCAAGCAGACAATTAATTATGCAGAGTTCGATTTCTAATAATAGCAATCTAAATGTAAATTTAAATGCTGGATATGTGGGTATTGGTCTCGGTGGGCAGGCTATGGGAACAGGTGCAAGCCCAAATCTCAGCAAGTTGAGTGCATTAGAAAAAGATCATATTTCATTTACTAGTGCATCTTCTGGAGATATTGGGACTTCTTCTGGTACTTCTGGTTATTTGGTGAAGAATGATAGTGAATCAGGTTCTTCTCTGGGCAGTTGGGGGTTATCCTGCAAGAGAAAGGCCCTTGAAGGTACTTCTGGACAGTCTTATACAGGTGGGAGCTCAAGTTGCTTCCCCCAAGTTGAAAACATTGTACGACATACTGTTCCTCCTCGATATAATGCTTCTAGTAGCTTAAGCATATCTTCAGCCCCAATGAACTGTCCTAGTGTTAATCCTTCAGAACAGTTGAACACGAGAATTGGGGTCAGTACGAGCGTAGTTTCAGATGCCTTTCCTCCTCTCAGTGTCACAGAAATTGCAGAAAATTTCCCAAGAAATTTAGGTGCAAGACTAAATCGAGGGCATCAAGAATCTGTTCAGTTTAATGCATCGATGACTGGGAATGCCGTAAGACATTCTAATATTTGTTCGTCTCAGCAGTCATCTAGATCTCTCTCATTTACTGATCCTTTGGACTTCAGATCAACAACTTCAGTAACAACCAGTTCAACTCATTCTGCAAATCAGTCTCAATCAACTCATGTTCCTGGTCTGTCAGGGAATATGCTTCCTTGGAGTGGGGCTCTTAACTCAAGAGGTGGCAGTTCATCAAGTTCTCTTATGATTTCTGGAGCTAGAGGCACTCCATTACGAGATGAAGCAAACTTCAGAAGCAATCAGAGAAACAATGCTGAGCATCCCATGTTTGTTCCTGCAACTGGGATGAGAAATTTGGTGCAAGACCCAACTACTTGGAGTTTAACTCCTGGAAATTCAAGCACTTCTGGAGGTGTTCCTTCTAGTTCCCGAATTGGCCCCAGTTTCAGTGTACATCCTTTTCCTGCTCCCTGGGTACCTCATCACATTCTCCCGACACAAAATCAACAAAGATTATCAGATTTTGCTCCTTGGACTTTGTTTCCATCTGTTGACTCTGAGTCTGGAGGTCAGGGAGGTCATTTTCCCCCTTCGCATCAGGCCAGTTCTTCTTCAGAGGAAATCCCAATGTCATCTGTAGTTAATAGCAATGGCCATCATTCACCATATCCGAGGTCAGGATTGTTGATGGAAGTACCAGGTGATGATGTCAATGGTTGGCGTGTTTTAGCTGCTGATATTGATGGGAGACACAGGCTGGTAACTGAGGTTTGTGGTTTAAATTATATATTTCTTTATTTTATTCCGTCATTTCCTGGTTTTCTGTTTCTTTACATAATTTATTTTCAAGGCTAAATTACTTTGGAATAGATTGTATTCTTTCTATTTAAAAGTAGAAAACTGGTAGTGCTTATTTTTGGAATTCCAGATGACCGTGCATAGATAATTAGATAGCATCATTCTACCTTGTCGGTTCATGTCAGAGATTACAATTTTTTATTCAAATTTTATCTTCATCAATGATCCTCTCTATCTATCTAATTCTCACTCACACAGTGCGCACACGCACACAGCACAATTCTCTACCTCAGAATACAACACGGGTAACATATATGATTGTTGAGTTTTTTACTGCATAAATCGTAGCGTTTTGGGGGTTTTTGCCTTTGATCATGTTTATTTCTTTGATGACGTGAAAATCACTGAACTGAACATTAAGAGTTACTTTTGTTTTCCTATTTTTAAATAGCAGACAAGTGGTTTTGCCCTCCTGTTGTGCGGTGTTTATATCAGTTGATGATATGGTAGACCACCTTGCTAAGGATGATTCGTTGGCAATTCTTGGCTCTTCCTGTTGACCTTGCTGGTGTTTAGCAATGTTGCTTCATATTTGAACCTCTTTTCATTCCTCTCATGCTCAATACTTGTTGCTGCTACATGTTTAATTAGATATATATATATATATATATATATATATATATATATATATATATATATATATTGTTTTGTTTGAAAAAAGAACCACCATTGGCTCTTTGGCCTATTGGTTGATATTCATAGTTGTCAGAGGCATGCCTAGGCTTCAAAAAATCCCTGGCTTGTCAAGGCTCAACTAAAGCGCCTTGACCTACTATAGGGCAGGCCCCTCTAGCTAGGCTCACGTAAAGCCCTCAGGTTCGTGCTTTTTAGCAAATCTCCATGTTTTAAAAAGCATGCCTTTTATTTTTTAATCATTCATTCATATCATTTTATTTTTATTTTTTGAATGAATTTGAATTTACATACTCCACATTAAATCATAGTCATATCCGATGGATCACATTTGTTGAACTCATGTATGTTTGGCAAAATATTTGAGCTTATATGACTGCTTACATTAAATACAGATTCTTGATTTTCATCATAGTATAATACTTGTTTAAATTACATGATTGCCTTTTATTGTTTCACAATAATAATGGTTATTGGTTTAGTTAATGCAATGGTGTTTGATTTTGTTAATGCATATCCTTATCCAAAGGATTTATTCGCAATTTTTCTATACTTGTGTTAAATATTTCCTTTTTGTTACACATGCGCCTTACTTCAATCAGGCTCACGCCTTACATTGCGCCTTGGGCTTAGGCTCCAAAAGCCTTGCAGATGCTAACACCCTTCTCCAACATGTGCATCTAGCCTATCCCTTCTTTGAAATGCTCTAGAAAAAAATACAGAAAAGATAAAAAGGAGATAAAAAATAAAGGATGAAACCTTAGTTAAAGAAATTCAATGAAAAGACACTTATGAAGTTAGTCATAGCCTTGATGTTATTCTTGCTGCTGATACCCGCTATCAATCATTTATGTCTGTGCAAGAATGTGTAACCTAGGAGTTCCTTTATCTCAGTAAGCAGCATGGTTTGGTGCTGTGAATCATGTGATTTAGAATAATTTCCCAATTTTCCTTGCAAGCCCTATAAAGTTTATCCTTAGATTTGACTCGAAAGGTCTTTTATATCCTTCTGTTTTGCTGAAGTGAATAATTATTAGCTAAAAACCTGTTTCTATTTTCTAGAGCACCTGGGGCAGAGATCTTGCCCTTCATCATATGCCTCAACTTACTCAAATGCCAAAGGCTCTTCTGCGGATCGAAGCAAAACTAGAAAGAGTATTCTGTTGGGAAAATGCTTTTAGGCGATGGTTTTGTTGTTTTTAGATGATGGTTCATTTTGTATGTTTTATACCCCAAGAACTTATCCATTACTACACCTGATGGAGTGGAAAGCCTCAAAATCTTGTTTTCCTGTTGTCTGTATTACAAACATATCTTGCTTCACAGTTAGATTGTACAACATCTCTTACTAGATTTAATTAAAAAATTGTCAGCATAAAAGTTATGAGATTAGTTGAGTTACTCATTTGGATTCATTATCCGTGAAGGACACTGAGAACTAAATTGAAAATCATAATAATGAAAATTTTATGCACTTTTTAGTTCTGAGAGTTTTTGTTTGTCTTTTAGCTCAAGTGTGCTCATGTATGTGCATTCACACACACACCCCCTCACTCAACTCAGCCACTAGTGACTTATGTAGTGGTAGACATTCCTTTGTGCTTCTCCTTCCTTGGCGACCCACTCAAAAATCCAAAGGTCACCAATGTTGCTGTGACACTCTGGTAAAAAGGTTATTGGGCTCGATATATCTTAACAATTCCTTCTTATTTGAATAAATGAGCAAACATTGGTCCACACCTCCATAGAACAGCATGTAGCTTTCATTCAAGATGCTAGATTCTCTTGAAAGTATGGAGTCCATTTAAATGCAACTATTGTACTTTTTTTTTTCATTTTTCCATACCACATTGGCTTTTCTTAGGGATTTCAATGAACAGATCATGGTTACAAGTCACAATTTTGCAAGGTGCAAGTGTAAGAGTTGTTATCTTAACGTATCAAAGGAACAAGATTTTGTTGCAACTGACGTGGAGGGATACTGCTGCACTTGCATAGTTGCCGTTGCTTTCCCAATCACGTTTTCGCCTTTTCATTTAGTGTGTTCACAAGTTCATTACACTTGCTTGTTAGTGTCTGATATTCCATGTCGCCATACTTATTTTTGGTTCTTATTATTTTTTATTTTCTATTAGAATGAGAATTGATCGTGAAGAATTGAAATATATTTTACGGCTGGTTGTCTACCTTTCATCTTTCTAATATGTCATTATACTTCCTTATCTTGCTACAGTGTGATGACTGTGTTCACATTGGCAATATATTTTACAGTTGGTTGTCTACCTAACATCTTTCAAATATGCCGTTATACTGACTAGCCCAGTGCATGAGGCTCTTGCCATTGTGGGGTCTGGGGAGGGTAAGATGTATGCAGCCTTTCCTCAGCATGCAGAGAGGCTTTTTCTTGTTTCAAACCCATGACCTCCATGTCACAATGGTACAACCTTACCATTGTGATGAGGCCCGCCCTCAAATATTGAAGTCAAAGTAAGACACAAAATAGTGAACAAGTCGGTGATAAATTCGCATCCTCAATCACATATCTAGGGCACAGTTAAATAGACGTTAGAAAGACCTGGATTGATCTTGGTGAGACTCAAAATTTTCGTTCTAAAACATGTTTTCGAATAATGGCTTTTTGAAGATAAGTTTTCAAACATTTGTTTAAACTGTAATATTAACTGAATAGCAGATTGCATCCATAATCAATCCAACAATTTCCTGAGGCTGTCTATTGATCGAGGAATGGATGGTTTTGTAGGGTTCAAATACTGAGAGCATCGATTGATCGAAGCAATTCCTTAGGGGTATCGATCAAAGGGTCGATTGCTTGAACTTGATATATATATATTTGGAAATTCTCTCAAAACACAATTTTACAAGAATTCAACTTACTAAAACATATGTGCTAAATATCTTGGTTATAAATATGAGGTTATTCTCAGTCTAGGAATGATTTTTAAGTCTAATCATCTAGAGAGAAAATCCTTGAGAGAGTAGAATATATGCAATTACTCAGTCTAGGGTTTCCATAAATACCAGAAAGATGGGTAATCACTAGAGAAGCGTTTCGTGAAGAGCGAAGTCTGTTGATGAGCGGATATATGGTCTGGAGACTCGAGTGGAAGGATTTCTGTCAGTTTGTGTAAAGAGGTAACTAGGGGTTCTAGGTTGTGGGAACCGTTAACCAAGTTGTAACTTCTTTCTCGCATAGTACTAGCTCCCGTGGTTTTTTCCGGTTGATTTCCATGTAAAAATCTGAGTCTCTGGTCTAGTTTGCTTTATTTTCTATTGATGCATGTTTGTGGATGTGATGAGTGCAAATTGAAAATTGACTTGTATAAAGAACAATTCAAATCACATTCATCATAACCAACTAATCGAATATCAAACAAAGGTCAATGGTAATTCAAAAAGTTAGTTAAAAAACGTCCATAGGATTAAGACCTATTAACCCTGTCTCTAGGTCTAAAGGCACTGCTCATATTCCAACACATCAGAGCCTAGGGTTTTGATCCTAAGAATTATCAGAACTCAATTGCTGCAGATTTGGATAATATATAATTGAAAATGTTAGGAAGTTTGCCCACTTAATATCTTTATAATTTATTGTGAAAAGTTAGATTAATAATTTGAAATTTCAGAGGAATTTGGATGAATAATGAAACAATTTGAAAATTTTATGTTGTCCAAATGTAGTAGCCAAAATTCAGGATGAGATTAGAAAAAAGTTCAGCCATGAAATTGAAATTAGAAATCATTATTACGGAGTAGAATTTTAGAATTTTTTAAGTGTTTAAGGAAAAAATTCATACATATATTTAGCATTTATTGCATGCCTTTTCTTTTTCTTTTTGGCCTTATGTGGCTTGAAATGTACTAGCTGTGAAAGTGGATCTCATTGAAGTCCTGTAAAATGAGAGGTTATCAAATGTTTTATTTTTTTATTTTTTATGATGATGTTCTTGACTGATTAGAAAATATAAATGAACATACAAGCTTCCCATTGGAACCTCAACTATAGATGACGTAACTCCCGCACTATGATATTTGTTTAGATATGTCAAATATGGTTATATTGTCTGCACTTTCTTTCTTAATTGTAATTGTACAATTTCCTATACTGTTTAGTCATAGTTTCTATCTTTCCTTTAAATAGATAGTCTGTTCCTTTTAAAATTGATTGGCTCTGGCTCTTACCTTATAAAGAAAAATTGTCATATCTAAATCATATGTTTTGCCTCCTATGTAACAGATTCGTCAAGTCTTGAATGCCATGCGTAGAGGCGAGAATTTACGAGCTGAGGTTTGATTTTGACTTCTACGATGATTCATGATTAACTTAATGACTTGATTATGTTGTGCAATGTGAACTTAGTGATTATACCTGGAACTGGTTGATGTGGACTCTTCTGTTGGGGGTTGTTTGATTTCAAATGGGAAAAAGATGATCCCACTTGGATTAAAAATCTTCATACATGTAAATCTTTTAAGAGAAAAATGTCAATTTCTTAGTTTTTTTCTTCTTATATTTTAGCAGCTTTGGCAGAAATTCAGCATGGCTCTTTTTTGTTGCAATGGAACTGATCTCCTTCAAAACATGTGTTGTAAAACAGTCCTACTAACAGCTACACCTTCGGTGATTCATGTGCTTCCCCTTCAGGCTAGACCAGGATGGGGGAAATAACTTCTGCCAGGGTTTCTGAGTAGCTTTCTTTGAAGCAACACAGAACATGACATTGTTGGGGAAAAAGTATGGTAACTAGGTGTAGCTGCCATAGAGTCGCAGCTTGTCTCTACGATGATTCCAGCTGCATACAAGTTCTCTCTAAATTTCCTGTGTGACAAATGGAAGGATTTGGAATATCTTGTTTATTAGGTGATCCGCCTTAGTGATGTAGGTGCCTGGACATGTTCCACTGCTTGTGAGCCACGTTTGCTGGTATAATGCATGGGCTCACCTTTTACATTTGGGGACCTCCAATTTTGATAGAAATTTATTGTATGATACTTGCACCATGAAAAATTTCTAATCTGGCACGACAAACTCTAGCAGCCTTTTAACATGGACTCTGTGCAATAATTGGGACTTATATGGTAAATTAACCTGCCCTTGCCATCCTCTGAATGGAGCGCCATCATTAAGCATGTGAAATGATTTAATGGATCAAGGAACTTGGCTCTTGCTTTATTTACCTTGATGATTTGATTATGTATGACATTTTGAGCTCCATGTATGTGCCAGGATTATATGCTCTTTGATCCATTTATAAATGGGGTTGCTGAGTTGCATGACAGGCATAGAGATATGAGGCTCGATGTTGATAACATGTCGTATGAGGTAAACTTTGTTGACCTATTTTTCTATCATCCGATCTCCATGGTAGGTTGTTCCCCTGACAACATGATTGGGATAACCAGGAATTGTTGGCCTTGGAAGAACGCATAGGAAATGTTAACACTGGATTGAGTGAAGAAACTATTCTGAAGGTGATGCAACAGCGGAATTATCTACCTGTTGCCGAAGGATACTGGTCAAACTTGGAGCCATGCTGCATATGTCGGGTAAGAACTCTCTCTATTCATTGGAGCAGCATGCCCGTAAATTGGACTTGCTGGAGGAGGCGGGACTGAGTGCTGCTCCCTAATTTTTGGAGTCTGTTGCACAAAGTGGATGCATTTAGATCTTGAACCTGAATTCTCCAGTTGACAGCTTTAGCTTCAAGCTTTTACCTCTTTATCAAGCAATAATGGATATATTGGAGGGAGAGAATTTTATTTTTATTTTTTCTGAATTATTAGCTTAAACTATGTTTTCCTTGCTTGAATGGCAGGAAGAGTATTGTCTTGGAGATGATATTGGGACGTTAAATTGTGGGCACGACTTCCACACCAGTTGCATCAAACAATGGCTCACACAGAAGAATCTGTGTCCCATATGCAAAATGACGGCGCTGGAGACTGGATAGGGAACCATTATTCTCAGAGCCCAACAAAGTTTTTTTCCCTACAAACGGATCATGAAACCCGTATCCTCAAATGATTATCAGAAAGAAAAAAAACCTGCAGTTTCTTATAGATGACATATTATTATATATCGTTTTTGTCTGAAACCGAAGATGGAAGGAGATACAATTTACTGAAAGATTGCAGCATGAGCAAAGGGATTGTGTATAACCTGCAATGGATAATTTCAAAGATTTATTGCATGACCGGTAACTATTGGAACTTCACTAGTTGCTGACATTATCGAGCTTTTAGAATAAAAGGCAGCCTGTGATATTAATGTCCACAAGTTAGTTCTTTAACGTTGGGTCTTCCAATATCAATAGGTTGATTGTATATTTCAAAATAACAAAAGAGTTGTCTTCTGGATTCAAAAGAGGGTATTAGATGGAAAACTGTTTTGCGCATGAATTTAATCTCGGTGGTGTAACATTGTATGCTTATTTTGTTCGTGGCGGAGATTGCCTTTCAATAATTGCATATATAGAAATTTATGTGAATTGATCTTCGTTCATTGTATGTGAGAATTTGGCATCTGAATGATGACCTAGCCCTTTTGTTATACGATTGGTATGTGCCAAACTTGAATGATCTTTATGAGCAGATTTTTTCCCCAACTGTAGCCTGTGTTGCTAGTTCTCCAAATGTGTGGACATGGGAGGGTGAAGATTAGGATTAGGAAGACGCCAGCCCCAACATACCTTAAAAGCTAGTGTGTTTAGGAATTCAGAGTTCGAGAATAAGTCACTTCATACAAAATAATGTCAAAAGTTACTGTTGTCTATAATCTTTCCCTATAAACTCCGCAATGAGAAATTATTGGATATTTCAGGGGTCTAGACAATGTGGTACTAAGCCTATGAGTTTTGTAACGAGAATTTATTGTTATTAAACAACGTAAATCTTTTTTTTTTTTTCTCAAAAAATGTTTAAATGCCTTTTTATTTTTATTTTTACAACAAATTTAAAAAAACACATCCAGTTTTCAAGAAAACAGCTGATGATTATATGAAGCATGATTTGTGGCACGCAAATAGATACAAACAATGCCAAAATCAAAGATGTGGAGTCAAAAATTGCAGCAATTATATAGCTTTCAAAGAGGGAATATGATGCCCTATTTGGTTCATTTGTGACCAATTGATGGAGAGGAGTGAAAGGAGAGTTGGGTTGGGGGATGAGGGCAATAAAATAGACATCACACAAAAAAGGAAAAATCCCAATTCACATGCTATTCCATGGGTCTCACTCATTCCATTAGATTTTGTCAATGGGACTCTCTCATCACCCCCTTCCTTTTTACTCTCGGGTACCTTTCTTTCCATTTGAGGTGGGACCATCTGGACCCCACTTTTGGTGTTAACATATGCCAATAATTATTCTTTCCCACTATATAGACCTTCATGTGCTGCTGTGCATGCTCCTTCTTGAGCAATCTTTTGGCCATCCTCAGGTCAAAGACAGTTTAACCATCAATCCACTTCAATATGATGATGCTTCATCCACTTATCTCTGTCTTCTCTCTCTCCCTCTCTCTCTCTCTCACACACACACACATAGAAATTCATGAAATTCCAAGTATTTGGTTTATTTGCTTTCTCATGATCATGTTCTGAGATTGGTCAGTATGAAGCCTAAGCCCAAGTTCGGGTTTACAAATAGTTGAAATAATGTCATAATACGGCTAATGTTGAGTTTGGAGTGTCGAATGAATGCTTTGAATTTGAATTGGAGCAAAATTTTAATTTCAAATCCAAGTCACTGATTTGGCACTCCCAAACATAACGTATAGGGATGGCAATGGGGTGATTCTAGGCTATTGTACCCTCCCCACCCCCGCCTAAACGGGTGCCTTGCCACCCCATCCTCGCCCTAGTTTACATTTTTTCACTTTGTGGGCACCCGACTCATATACTCTCAAAAGTTTTCTCACATATATATATATTTTTCCAAGCACAAATTATACAAGTGCACAACCAACACAGAAAACGTTATCAATAATAATAATTTAACATAAAATTCAAATTACAAATATTCGATAAAGGCAACGATACACATTCCAAACTAAAATTAAATCTAATAATAAAATTAAACCTAAACGGGGTAAGGCGGGAGAGGATCACCCCGCTCCCATTTTGAAACCGCGCAAGTTTTTTTTTTTTCTTCCATAAAACTCGTTCCCGCTCAAATATCTTAAACGATTCCCTAAAATCGGTTTAAGCGGAATGGACAAGTACCTACCTCCCCAAGACAAATTGCCATCCCTATACTAGCATAAGTATATAAATGATAATTTGGTGTAAATGCAGACAAATTGCCATCCCTGTAATAGCATAAGTATATAAATGATAATTTCGTGTAAATGCAGACAAATTGCCATCCCTATACTTGCATAAGTATAAAAATGATAATTTCGTGTAAAAACACTACTTTATACAAATTATGTTAACAAATTTAATTTATGAAACCAACATTCACTACATGAAATCACAACCACTCAAACTTAATATAAATAAATAATAAAAATTAAATAAAAAAGAGGAAGAAAAAAGAAAAGAAAAGAAGATTTGATGTGTATCAAACCCTAGAATTGAGTTGAATCACGCAACCATTTGCATCAAATCACTAGTGACGATTGAAAAAAACTGTTCTACATCAGACAAGTTATGCCTACTTTCTTTTTTCTGTCATCATTTGAGCCAAAAACAGCACCAATTATTTTTGTTGACTACTATTATTAGGGTAGACTTTTGCTTTTGGTAGGAACATTAATCCTTCTCACAATAAAGATAAATGAACTTGAATTTGATTAACTCATTCAAAGATCTGGCATTGCCATGCCATTAGAATCAAGACACTCTACAAAAGTCCAAAGTTGGCTTATTTGAAGGTCCATGATCCACACTTAACCTCCACTATATTCTTTGAATGTCCCGACTTAAGTTCACTCCCAGCACGTAAATAAATGTATCGATTTTAATTTATGTATTAAGTTCTGATTAACAGAATAATATAATCCTGAACCATGTTATAATGTATCCTCAAATACCCATGCAACTCCAATTATATTTGAATCAAAATTCACCTCTTGGCATAAATAATACCCATGCAACTCCAATTATATTTGAATCAAAATTCACCTCTTGGCATAAATAATGTTAGGAGAATGCTATTTACAACTAAAATACTAACCGTGAAAATTCTATCCGTTAAATGAATTGATGGTGTGTTGGCTATATGGATTTGAAATTTTGGAATTGAAATTGATGAAATTTGAAAAAATTTTGATTCGATTTTGTTAATTATTTTTTTGCAAATTCCACTGAATTTCATACAACCAAACAAGAAACTCGTCCACAATGCTCAAAATGTTTGAATAGAAGTTCTTTAACCATCAGAAAAATTCACAAGATTCTTCCACTTTTCTTAAAAAGATTCTTTAACAAAAAAAATTCTTACATACAAAAATACATTCACAAGTACAATTCCCTATATACCAATCTAGAATCTCAATTTCCAATTTTTTTTTTTTTTTTTTTTTTTGGCCCTTTTCACCTAAAAAATTACAAGAATAATAATTGGATTAAATTCCAAAAAAGAAAAAAGAAATCAATAATCAAAACGCAACGACGTCGCTGCAACCAAAATCGTCAGAATTGGCGATTGAATCGTCTGGCCACGAATCGCGAAGCAGCTTCAGCAACATCTGCGCCTTTCGCTTCGCTCGTTCCGTACAATCGCTCTGAACCAGCAGAAACAACTTCGTCAACACACCCGCCGCCACCGCCTCCTTCTGAGACTGCTCCGCCGCCGTGCACAGCGACAGCAGAGCTCCGGCGGCGTACTCGGTCGCCCGATCCGATATCTTCAGTATTATCTTCACCAGAAGCGGAACAGTAAGCGCGTGCGCCGCAAACGCTGCGCACCCTGACGGAATCCGGCAGAGGAGCTCCACCGTCGCCAGCGCCCTCTCCGCGTCGTATTTCTCGAAATCAGCCAATCTGTCGATGAGAGCGTCCACCGCTCCGGCGGCGACCGCCTTGTGGCGGTGTTGCTTCACCAGACACAGAGCGAACAAGGCTTTGATTCCGATTTTGACAGCTCGTTGATACGCGAATGGATAGGTGAGAATTCCGACGATTCCTTCGAACACTTCGTCGGCATTGCTGATCTGAGATCGGAGCTCCGGCGATCTCGTACCGGTCACTACAATCTCGATCAGCGCAGCTGAGTTGACTCGGACTTCGATTGACGAATGGAAGAGAAGAGACACGAGGTAGTCGACTCGGTCCGGATCCGAAGCCACAAACGCACACTGCGATTCAGAAAGCGAAAACATGGAGAGAATCGCGAGTGACTCGTGAGTCAACTCGGACGAATCTGAGTCTATATTGGAGAAAACTATATTAACAAGGATTTCACACGCACTATTCGCAGCAATAACAGATCGATTCTTGTCCGAGTCACGAGCGAGTCCTCTGAGTCGGCGGACCGCGGAGAGGCGCGAATGGGAAGAGGTCGACTCGGACGCGGCCTGACTCAGTAAGGTCCGAACCATGGCAGGTTCGGCGGGCTGCTTCGGAGTGGGAATGCGCTGGACACCGAAAGAGCGGTTCGCGACGCACCAGTCCTGGATGAGCCGGCGGAGAGTGTGGTTGGGGATGACGGTGAAGTCGGTGAGAGGCGCCCGCGTGACCGGGCACGTGGTGTTGCCTGTGGCGACCCAAGACTCGATGCTGGTTCGGTCGTAGGTCTGGCCGGTGCAGACCGTGACGGGGTCACACATGAGCTCGAGCGAGATCGGACACCTGAAGTGGTATGGGATCTGAACCGCAACGTCCAACGGTTCTAAGCTGCCAGGCATGGCTCTCACTCTAAATCTGTTTCTCTCTCTGTATCTATATCTATATATAAATCTGCTTCTCTCTCTAGAAAGGACGAAGGGAGTAGTATACTATATCTGAGGGTCTCTGCAAATTCTCTTTCGCTTTGTTCCGCTTTGCTTTCTCTTATACGAATTGGAAACAGAGGGACATACCAACAGGCCGTAGGAGGAACTCTCTGCCCTTATCTGACTATGCCCCACACGTGTGTCATTTAACCATAGTTGGGAGTTGGGACGAGGGAAGGTTTGGTCAAATGCGACTAGTTGGGTCCCACTTCCAAACTAAAATCTAACTCCCATTTACATCAAAGCTATTAATGCCCCCTTTTTTATTTGATTAAAAAATTAAGAATAATTGCTTGATTGATTGTGCATTAATTCATGTATATTACTAGTATTAAACTAATGCTGCTCGAGAATCTCATTTTTTTTTTTCTAAATTTAGTTTTCTTTACATTAAAAATAATTTGCTAAGTGGATGGGCCTTCCATGAGTCATATAATAATAATAATATAGATTGAATGTCACATGAAAAATAAAAAAAATTCTAAAATTGATTAGTTATTATGATAGGAGTCACAGCTGTGTAAGATAATTGATTAGTAGGGTGTTATTATATGTAGTTGTAACGGCATTGGCAGAGATTCCAGAGGTATGTTTTTAAGGTATAGTTTTCGAATTGCACTCTTGACTTGAATAGTGCATGTGTTGTGGACCGATATACGTGCTATAAAGAAAAAAAAAAAAAAAAAATTCATATGCAGTAATACTAAAAAAACAAAAATGTTAATAGTTATTGCAATCAAGTTGTTTATATAACGTTTCTTTACCGCGAAAAGAGTGCGGAAAGAGTACATTGTGGAGATCACTCCATATGAAGTGTGGTCCACATTGCCTGTGTATACCATGCCCAATATGAGGATTCGAATAATTCATATATCATATGTAAGATTTACGTCAATTTTATTTCATTTATATTTTAGGAGCCATCCTCTCTCTCACTTCTTCCCCCTTTCTTAGTGTCACTATATACTCACAAACAACGCAATTAACAAAATACAGACGTCTTGAAAATGTTCTTCCCACTTTTTATTATTATTTAATTTTTTAGTTACTTTGCAGACACTTATAATAATTAATAGATTGAAAATTAATGGCATGGTTAATTTTTATTTTGGATGGTAAAAGGTGAACTTACCGACAGAAAGTGATGGTGGGTCAAACCGACCACATTGCAAAAAGGAAAGTAGTAAAACTTTTCTAATTAACTTATTTAACTCTCAAAGTAAAAACTTTTCTAATAACTTTGATTCTTTGTCCTTTGAGGCTTTTGATATTGTTTGTTTAAAGTGAAACCTTGGGTAATTGTCAAATAGTGAGCTTTTGAGACGATTTTATTTAGAAGTGCATTGTTATTAATTTAATTATATACTTCATTCAACCAAAATAGATGTATAAATGAATAATTAAAGTTCTCTTCGTGCAAGCTCTATAGTTCATTCGAATGATCTAAAATTTAGTTATACCTTGATTTGCCGTATTAGTCGCGACGTAACAATCGGTTTATAATCCTTTTTTAAAGGTTTAATACCATTACATAGAACTAGCAATTTTAGTCAATTTATACCGATATTTAGTCTAATACATTATACCTTAACTGCAAATGATACCGTGATTGCAAATTATGAATTATACTAATTTTTTTTTAATTATTATTATTTGAATTCGTAAGATACTCATTAGTTGATAGAGAATTTTGCGTCTTCTGTTGAATTTCATTTTCTAATAAAATTACTGAAGAAACACCTATGGTTGAGAGGTTCGTGTTTGAAGATAAAGTAATTAAACTATTTTTAAAGTGAACATACATTGAAGAATATTATAGGAGTTCTTTGTTATGATTAAAAAAAATCACTTTAGAATTCATAAAATGGACAATAAATATTCACTAGAGAGAGAAGTACAATTTACCATTTATTTGAAAAGTTCATTTTGAGATAAATTCGTCTTTAAGCAATCTTGAAAAGTTGTGGGTAATTTATTGGACAAAACAAGTTTTAAATTTCTAATTAAGATCCGGTTTTCACAAATAAGTCATTTTGATACACCTGCAACACTCATTATATTGATATGCAACACACGCATCGTCGTTGCACTAAGAACATTACAAATGTAATGTTGGTAAGTGTGTTATGTTCTGTGTTATATCTCTCTAAGATAGTAATACGTTGTATGTCTCAATTTAATAATTATTGCATAAAAAATTGAGAGAATCTGAAATTCACATAAATTATAATTACCATTATAATAACAAAATTTAACAAAAGTGTGAAAATTCATTACCAGAATTATTATTATTATTATTTTGATTCCATAAACAAATGGCTGAGCTTGGGCATAATGTCACTGTTACTTGGTTAGCACAGCTCAGAAAATATCTCAGCAAAAACAAAAGTGCCAGTTCAGCAGTGCCAAAACACTAGTACTATCCACTGTTAAGTACTGATTAGGTGTGTCTGATTTCACTTTAGGTTACTGGTCAAAGGTCAAAGATATGAACAAAGGAATTTATGTGGGGCCCTCACTTGTCCTCTCTTCCACCACTGTAGTATTCCAGCCAAACCATTTTGTGGCGGTTGACGAATGCTGACAGCCTATTTAAGTGGACCACGTCGACAGTATTCTAGTAAAGTCTCTATTGTATTTTACTGTGCATTAAAATCACATTAGTTTTGTGGGTTAATTACACATGAAAATATTTAATCATTTTCTCCTTGATTGAATCTTGTGCGGAATTTTATGTGTCGAAACATCTTATGGTTGTAGCTTTGAAGCGGTTGTTGTGCTAATGGTCAGACCTTTCGGTCTCTTCAATTTGTTATTTTCTTTTATGGTGATTTCGTTTGCAGAGTGTTAGGCTCTGTTTTCTCTACAAATTTGGAGCCTATTCTTCATTTATTTGTTTTGCTTCAAGATTTGTACACCTTTTCTGGCTTGGCTTTATGCCTCTGTATTGCCATCTTGGCTTTAGGCCTTTGTGCCTTTGAAAAAAAAAAAAAAAAAATACATGAAAATCACATATTGCACAAGGAATGGCTGGGAATCATGGACCGTAGAAACTATAGGGAATCGTTATTTTGGTTTGATTTTTTTATGGTTTCAGTTTTAATCGTTAATTTACAATTTTGATTTTCTGTCCATTGGAATCGGACCTAGTCTTAAACTAAAAATATATTTTATATACATATATTACGATATTAATAAACAACAATATAACATATGTTATAAAGATAAAACTACACACAAGTACACAACAATATGTTTTTAGACTACTCTCCAATGATTTTTTACTTCTAAATTTCATATTCATTATAAAAAAGGATAATAGTTCTTTTACTTTTAGATTACATATATATTTTTTTTCTTAGTTGAGAGGTTTGTTATTATCCATGTATAAACTTGTATTTTGATTTGAAACCAAATCTATGTTGTTGGTAGTGATTTTTTTTTTTTTTGAAAGGTAAAAAAAGAAAAGAAGAAGGAACCATGGTTCGAAACCGAACTCTTTTACGGTTCAGTTCTAGTTTCAATTTCTTAGGAGCCGTTGAATTCGGTTCAGTTCTGATTTAGCTAAGAACCATACCAAATCGGACCTTGTGCAGCTTTATGTTTGTCCTATTGACGTTTCGAATTTTCATAAATCCAGATAGTCAATGTGACCAGAAAGTTGACCCGATAACAGATCCAGAATGTGGAAGCAAAAACAAAGAAAATAAGGTTCCTACGGATAAAAAGCAACCCAAGAATGCTGGAGTGACTTTTCATGAAGTCACGGAGTTCAAAAGAAAATAAAATGCGAAAGCGACATTTTAAAAACATACAAGTTTAGCTCTGGGGGTAAAATGGTAATTTTATAAAGTTATGGGTGCTACTGAGCACACCATTGAATAGACAACAAAAAATTAACAAAGATAGACTCAAAAATCACATGATTCGGAGTCCGGACGGGAGAGAACGGCCAAAAACAAAAATAGGCGTCGCCGTGGCTAAGGGGCACCAGGGCCAAGTCCCATGCGCGCGCCAGTCAAATGAAAGTTGACATATTTTTAGATATTCACACCCCTTATCAGAAATTGTTGCCACAACCTAAAAAGGTATAAAAAAAAAAGACGTTATTACCCTTCAATAAAATAATAATTCTTAATCTAAAATATCTGAGTATTTAAATGACTGGAATACCCCATCATTATTAACCATACGTTTTGGTGCCAAACTTGAAGACACATGTCCTCACCCTCAACCACCACCATGGCCCCTAAAAACACAACCACCGCCTCTCAACCTCTTACCACCACCACCACGGGTAGTTCCCATATGGTCAGCCATGGGACGCGCATAGTATTCCCCATCTTTCTTCTTTTTCGTCTCTATTGTATTTGTCTTTTATATACATTCATATACACAAATACATACTCCTTTTTTCCAAAAATTTTGGGGTGTTTGGAGAATCCAACTGTTCATGGTAGTAGGTTTTTAATAAATTTTTTATTGCATTGATATGAGTGAATTTTTAAATTTATCCTTGTTAAAAGATAAAGAAGTACTGTGTAATTAGTGCACTTGTTTAATCAAGTCAATATTAAAATAATAGTTTAAGAATGTTATAAAAAAAAAATTAATTATACAACCATTTTTAGAATGGGACAGACATTTTGTGACATCATAAAATTGAAAGATGAACAATAAGTTTGGATACATAAATATACTACACCAAACTCCTATAGCTTCTGCTAGTGTTTTCTTGGTTTGCTCCTCTTCAGCTCCAGCGGCTTGTATTGGGATCCCCACCTCGGGGGCAAATCCTTTTCTACCTTTCCCGCCACCACACCGTTGTACACTTATCCATGAGACCCTGTGAGAAATTGACCATAACACCACCACCCGTTGTAATCGTTACCGGGAGTTCCGATCATCATCAACGTCGACTAACACACTGTGACGACCCTGGATTTTACAAACCCAGTGTGTCTTATGATAACCCGAAACAGATCCAAAATGCGGAAGCAAAACATAAACAAGGCTATAGAGATGTACGTCATCCCTAAGACACGAGAATAGCCTTTCGAGGAGTCCCGTGACTCATCGAAAGTAAAACTGAAGTTAGGGTTTCAAACCTT